CTTGAGTGGCCTGGAACTACATAGCTATTGCTTTGCTTTTAGTTTCAATTAAAGGCAGAAGAAATCTGAAGTGCAGAGTGGTTTCCCCCCCACCTCCTGTGTCTGAGAACTCCTGCAGAGACCGTCAAAGTCAATAGAATCCCCTTTCCATGCAACCCAAGAAAGTCATACTGGTGTAAAAACATAGCAAACCAAAACTGAGTGAAAACACAGCTTTTATTTTAATAGAAGGAGTTTGTTATGCGAAACCACTTTGGGGGGTTTCCCTAATGTGGGGGTAGGCGTGAGCAGGTAAGTTGTATGACTTCCTGGCAAGGGCCACCTCCATCCTGGTCTGGCTTATGTCATCATCCACAGCCATTTTGACAGATCAAAATCACTTCGCTGCCTCCCCAGCTGGCGACTGATTAAAAAGTTCAGCACATTTTGGGAGGCCTGGGCACGTTTTACGTGTTTATCTGCCGTCTTGGTGATACTCGGCGTGGGCGTGTTGGGGCCGACCTCAGAGTTTGCTTTATCCATATTTAGTTGACCCTGCGGAATTATTTTACCGTAGAGCACAGCCACGAAAGCCTGAAAAAGATGGTGAAACCAATTAAGCCAGGGGACCCAGCTTCTTGGCCTGCCACCTCCCTTTCCCCTCCCCCCAACCCTTGCTTCAGCAGCAGTCCTAAGACATTGTTTCGCGGCATTGTCTGATTTGCAAGGCTGACCTCATCACTCCCTTCACTGCATCTCATGCAAGGACTTGGGTCTAAAATCTCGCTTCACCTCCACTGACATATTTTTGATTCCTGTTGCCGGTAGATTTTCATATACCGTAGATATGACCGGCTCACCATCATGGCTATTCTCATGTTCTCTTCTATTTAATTGGATCATCGGCTCACCTCAGGGCAAAATCCTCCTGAGGTGCATGACCCTGCTTGCACTGAATTCATGGATTTATTTGGGGAAGAATTGATAGGATTACAAAAATCAGTCTTCCTATCCAGCGCCAATTGGTATTGTTAGGGTTGAAACAGGAAACCCATAAACTAAATTCAGGCATACACTGCTGAGGGGAGCAGCGGGCGAGACAGGAGAGGTCTCCGGCGCCATGTGGCACCCTCGCGGGCCGGCCGGGATCAAACCAGCGCTGCAGAGGCTGCAGACAGCTTCACAGCGCTGCGTTCAACCACCTGCGCCACCAGGGGAGGCCCTCATAAATAAATTAAAAAAAAATAAAAAGGAGTAATCTCAGAGCCATAGATAGCCAGATGTGGATACAGAGATTGAGAGGAGTAGAAAATCCTACCTGAAATCTACTTCCTTTGCAGATCTCTCTGGGCGATTAGGTCAGGAGGCCAGACTCACTGACCATTACCCTGTGGAAACACAATGAACACTGGTGAGTAATTTTGACAACTCTTCCTCCAGGAGAAGCTGTAGTGGGAGAGGTCAAACCAAGGAAGACCTCTGACCCCGAGATAGCTGGGTGTCCAGACAGATACACAGACGGTACCCAAACACGGGTAATGTCATCAAACCTCTCTTCCAGCTCCCCTACTCACAATGCTGGGTCCTCAACATGGAGTCACTCCAGTGCTTGTGACCAGAGTTTGAGTGTTGCCACGGGGACGACTAGGTTCTGAAGGCCATTGTGACTCCCTGTGATTCCATTTGGTGCTGACCTAATCAGGACATGGGACCCAGGGAAATGGTGGGGGGGGGGGGGGGGGAAGAGGGGAAGCTTTCCTCTCCCATTTTTTTTTTTTTTTTTTGCCTTCCCTTCTGGATCAGTTGCTGCACCTGCAGGACTTGTGGTTGTCAGTGGTCAGGGAGGTAATAAATCTAGATACAGAAAGAAAATGTGCCACCTTTATCTGCTCTCAGCAAGCTCCTTGGGCTGACGAACTCTGACCCTGCTGTGGAATGGCAGGGCGAGCACTGCCGTTTGTCCGAATTAATAAAAATAACAGCACATGCAGAAGGATGGGACCGCAAGACACCCCGTGGATTGGAAGTGATCGAGGAAGAGTTGCATGAGTTTGGGGGGGTGTGGAGGGTGATCTCTCACTCTGGTGTGTTTTCAACCTTGCTGTTCTTGCGTTAGTCCACCCAGTCTAAGGAGACCTGGCCCGGCGGGTAGACAGTGCAATTAAAAGTCCACTCACCTGGCAGTTTGGCTTCTAGCTCTGTTTCTAAAATGCGTAGCGATTTCCATTTTTTAATTAAAAGTTGACTATCTCTTTTTCTAGTATTTAAACAGCATGTTTAACTGTGATGCTGACTGGCACCTGCTCTATCCTGTCACTTCAGCTAAAAGAAGCGTCTTCTGTAGTTCACATTCATAGCGGTAGATTTGCTGCATGGACGGATGTTTGTTTCAACACTGGCAATACCTCCGTTGAGTGTCACTGCCTTACCGTGACCATGTCCCGTTTCCAGGGTACCAGTCCACGCACTCTTGTCAATGGACAGGGTGAGCAGATGGCTGCATTCTAACAGGTACGATCCAGTCACCCTTTCACCTTAGCGTGTGAGCTGATGCTCCTGAGGACAGGAAGGGTCCCGAGACAAGGACAGGGCAGGACTCCAGGCAAAGACTTGGCAGAAAAATTGCCTTTTGATCTTGCAGTTCCCATGCCCTGCTAAAGAAGAGATTAAAAACCTGATGACATTCCTTGAGGACACCCGCTGCATAAATAAATTGCCTTGGCAGGCAGATTTCACTGATATCCCGCAGCCTGGGCATCCTGAGCTATCTTTCCAGGGCTTATCAAGTTGGCTGTTATGGGGAAAAAAGGGGTTACTGACTCAGAAAAGAAAAGGGAGTCACAGATCCTGAGACCAGACTGCTTTGAACTGGAGCTGCAGGCACATAGCTGCCAAGGTATGTTCACTCTGGAGATGGTGACGAGCCCTGCACAGCCACAGAGCTGCGGCTGACGGGTGCCCACACCCGGATGGGCAACAATACTGGACTTTCGTCAAGTCCACCCTCCTTGCTTTCTCAACCAATGAAATGTCATTCCTTTGTTCTCAATCTCTAGCCTGATACCCATGTAGATCCTTAACCTGGGCACCGCAGAGTCTCTCACTCCCAGAGAGTCTCTGTAGAGTTCTCTTCCTTTGCTCTTTTGCTAACCCACAATGCCCCACTCCTTGCCTGCCCTCACCCATGTCTGCGGAGTCCTCTGCTCAATCTTGCTTGAGCAGGTGGTCTCAAGAGCCTCTCCAGGTGTGCGAGGGGGCCGCTCTATTTTCAGCGGGTGGAGCAGCAGACAGGGCCGAGCTCTCCCCGGGCTTATCTGCCCATGTCTTTGCAGGATGGGATCAGGCTGCGGGACCCTGGATGCCCGGCCTTGTCTGGGGCACCCTCGACAGCAGGCGCACCGTATTGCTGCTTTCTCAACATTGGCAAGGGTGGGAATATCGTTCATCTGAATCCTGGCTTATCTGAGATTTCTTAAAGTCTCGATAACAACTGAGCCACTTGTCTTTGCGTAGCGCTTGGCACTCTTTCGGATACCCCAGCTATTTGTAGGGTACAAAAATGAAAGACTCCCTAGAAAAATGAGCATACGGAGGTTTTACGTCATTTTGTCCAGTGCGGTCCTTTGACTGTTGGGTGTGTTTAGGAGCGTAGTGCGCACATGCCCACCTGTCGTGGGACGTGTGGTTTCAGCAAGAATGCCCAGAGAGGGTCCAACTCATAACTCGCACAAGTACTTCCTCAGCTTTTCCTCATTCATTTACTCACATCTGAACGTCAGTCAGCCTGGACTGGATTTCGGCGCACAGGCCGAGAGAAGGAGCCAACCTTGTTCCCTCACCGCTACCCACTCGTCCTGCGTGGATGCAGCAACAAGGTGTGTGTCTCTCTCCGTCCCGCCAGACCAGCTCTCCCGCTTCCCTTGTCTTCCCTGCAGAGCTAACAGACTGTGCTTTTTCACACGCCCAGGAAAGAGTTCAGTCCAAAGATGACATCAGCGCTGCTGACCACCAGGTGATGGCAAAAGCGCGCTGGCGTCCCGCAGGCTCTCCAGAAGCTTGTGTCTGGAGGGTGGACATGCTGCCCGGCCCACTCCCCTTCTGTCCCCCTGTGTCTCCGGATGGGTGGCCCTGTCCTCCGCCAAAGAGCAGGACGCTGGTCTTGCAGACACGAGGGTGCTGCCCTCCTCGGCGCGTCCACAAACGGCAGACGCCGTCCTTCTCCTCCGCCTCTGTTTCCTTCCGTCGGCCAAGGGACCCGAGACTGGCAGGCACCGGTGTCCGTGTCACGAAGGGGCTCATGCCCGGTCCCCGCAGAGCTGAAAGCCAAGGTGAAGAGAGGAAGGAAATGGAAGCAGAAGGAAATGCCCCCTCTGCCCCAAACACCAAACCCCCCAGGCACCCCAGTCTGCTGGAAGTCCCTATCTCCTGGGTGGTGACTGGCAGGGAAAATCAAAAGAATTGAGAGAGGGCGCCTTTGACAGGAGGCCCGGGGCAGGCATTCCTCTGAGAGCTGGTGTGAATTCGGGACCACAAGAGGTCGGAGGACCTAGATCGAGCTCTCAGACGAGGAAGCCAGTGGCGGTGGCGACAGGGCCCAGATCCTGGAGCTTCAATCCACAGTGCCATGAGAGGCGGGACATGACCATGGGATGGGCCCGGAGAGCAGGTGAAGGCTCTTGGAGCCCAGGACCGGCCACCCCAGGAAGAGCCTAAGTGGCAAGTCTAGCATTTTGATGGAAAGAAATTAAAACACAAAAGATCCCAGGTGAGGTTTTGTCTGGGTGACGCCCCCGAAGAAGGAACTCTCAGGGGCAGTCCTGGCGGTGGGGCCAGGGCTGTTGTTGATGCATATGCACATAACGCCGCAGAACTGCTTTTCCTTTAAAGTGTTTTGTTTCGCTTCATAACTTTATGGCCGCCTTTCTGGAGCCCTCAGAACCTCACCGGCACTGGCCAGACGTCAGGCTCCATTCTTTTCTGCCTGAGCCGCCCCCAACACCACCCCCCAGTCCCCTAGGCTAGTGATTAGTTCGTCTTTTCACTTGCTAATCTCTGAGCAGTGCAGGGAAGGGTTTCCCAGCCTCTGGGTCTGGAAGGGTAGAGAGAGGCAAATGAGCTTCCTCCCCCCACCAGCAACAGAGGGATGAGGCCATTTAAAAAACCACTACAAAATTATCTTGACAAGTGTTTGCACCTCAATAAACGAAGCTTCCGCCAGGAACTTTGGCACAAGAATTTCCCCGCTGAGAGCTTCATCTCATAGAAATGCACCAGGCAAGTGGGCAGCATTTTGGGATAAAAATCTAAACATCCAGCAACGTGGAGCTGCGACTGTCTAAGAGGGCACGTCCACTCAGCGGGGCCATACGGCGCTCTCACTCTCTTGTTACAGAAACATGTTTGCCATCACTATAGGCAGCTTTCATGCAGTTTTTAATGCAGTTGTGCAATGCTAAATGTTGCTTTTAAAATGATGGCTCTATGTTTGTCCGTAAAACACATCAGGAATTTCTAGACTGCTTTCAGTTGTCTCTGAACAATGGAATTTTGAGTGATTTTTAAAAAGATTTATTTTTATTTATTCATGCATACAAGAACTGGGGTGTAGGCCAGAGGTGCGGGGGGTGAGAGGATTTACCAGAGACAGAGTGGGGAACAGAACAGGCGGACCTACTGAGATACACCGCTGAGGGGAGCAGCTGGCGGGACAGGAGAGGTCTGCTGCGCCATGTGGGTTAGCTCTGTAGCCTGGGATCTAAGGCATGTCGCCGTGGGCTGGAGATAGCTTGATAGTGCTGAGACTTTAATCCCTGTGCCACCAGCGAGCCCACCCTCCCGCCCCCGCACCCCCTCCCCCGCCCCCTGCCCCCTTGGGTAAGTGTTTGCTGCCATGTGCTGAAATGTTTTTTCTACTTTTTCAGAGATAAACCTGCCATTTTTGTAATTGAAAAAACCATCAATTAAGGACTATTACAATTCCAATGTTCCAAAAGACAAAAGCAAACACAAACTTCCCTATTGCAGAAAATGTAAAGCCCTGGTTGGTTGGTTGGTTGGTTGGTTGGTTGGTTGGCTGGCTGGCTTTAGAGCCCTCCCCAGTTTGAGTTTTCCTACTTCATCCCTCAGGGCCTGATCTTGAATCCTATGGTTTGCTCCCTAGTCTCCTATCTCTTGTTTGTTTTTCCCCTGTCTTCCAGCTCCTGCCCACACCCACCTTTGCTAGGTGAAATCTCATCTTTCACAGCTCAGGTCAGTGCTGACATCCCCCTTTAGATGCCCCTATGGTCTCCGAATCTGAAACTTTCTCCCTTCTGGGATTTCCTACAAAAACAGTTTTGAACTAGCTTTTGTAACCATTTGTCAGAGCTAGCTTCCTCAGCTATTTTTCCCCCTATTGGCCCCCATTTGATTGTGAATATTGTGAATTCCTGGAGAACAGGGGAAGCTTATTTGAAAAATTTGGATACAAATGGTATCAGTCAAGTAAATGCTTGGGCAATACTTTTGCATGCGGTTAATGACATCCAAAGCTCGGGTATTGTTTTTCCCATCATCTGACATCTATAACTTATATGTCACATAAAACATAGTCCTAGTAGTTAAGGACAGTGGCTTGGAAGCATTTATTGAGAAACATTGTTTTAGGGATATAAGTTCCGATTTTAATTATTTTGTTGTGCTTGAAAAATAACTGCTTTCTTTGACAGGTGGATGCTCTCTCTAATAATCTTGGTGTAGCTGGGCCAGCGGACTCTGGTGCAAAAGTTTTCATTGGTTATATTACATCTGTTAGGAAAGATGCCATCTAGATTCATAAGAAATTCACTCTCGATATTTTTGAATGTAGGATCTGTATTTCCAACCTCAAATCATTTGAGTGATATCGTTTAATTGTCTAGATTAGATTTCAGATACTATCTCAGGGGTCAAACGAAGACAAGCTTGGTCTTTAAGAGGATTTCAGCACTAGAACAATTTCGACCCGGACTTGGCTGCAGTCCTTGACTCTTCAGTATTTCAGTTGGACCTTTGGAGGGAGATGGAATGTACTGCACAGTGACAAATACCTCAAATACTTCAAATCTCCTGCTATCAATATATTCTCACTGAGTGCGTTGCTTGTACCTGTGGGCATGCACGCAGTCACTGTTCAAGTGTACTTTGTTTACACTGAAAGGTCTATTTTGCTTATGCTCTTTGAGTCTAAGCAGCTGCTAGGTAGCCTGGGTAGCAAAGCGAAGGGAGCTCAGTTGTCCAGGCTCTTGGCTCTTTTACTTTCCCTGTGGGTACAATCCAGGAGACTGAACTTGTTATAGAGCAGCCCCGATACTAAACGGGTTTCTGCCTGTGGGTCCTCACCCGCGCGCTTTAAAGGGACTTATGAATACTCTACTACAGACACATGCAAAAGGGTTAATAAAAGGTTTATTTACAAGAGAAAAAGAAATAAGGAAAATATACAACTCAGGGAGAAAATAGGGAAATAAAGTCTTTAATGCGTCCTACCCGATCCGACGACCAGGAAACCCAAAGTCACTCTCAGAGCTGGCAGGATGCTGCGAGCTGGCGGAGAGCCAAAAATGGGGGATTCCCCAAAGCCCACGTGTCTGCCTTTTTGTATCCACCTGGCTGCTTAACCCCACCCTCAGGTCCCAGCCACCTTCCCTTTGGTGATGATGGGATGTGGAGTTCCCAGTGTCTTTGACTTTGACCTAGGGTGGGGGTGGAGTCCACAAAGCCTATATGGAATTAGCTTTGGGACATCCTTTTTCCCCTAACAAACTGAGCTGTGTCTTCAGATGGGCACTCTGTCAGGTCTGTTGGGAAGGTGCTTTATGGGGCTAGGGTGGACCAGTGAGACCAGATGAGTAACCCTGCTGAATGAGGATGGGGGCTGTGGAGGGAGGGTCCAGGTTAACTTCAGAGAGAGCTCTTTGTTTGACATCCTGGTTTGCAGAAGCTAGGAGTCTCCTATGTCCTCAGCCTCCTGCTGTCCCTGGTGACGTTGATCGCTGGTGACTCTTGACAACTGCTATAATGTCCTCCTGAGCACCAAACACGCCAATGACATGCAAGACACTGAGTCACAAGAATGCACTCTATGGTCAGCTGTGTGCCCTACTAGTGGGCTGCATGTTTGCTATGGTCTAGCATGTAAGTCTTCAAGAAACTCTAAATGAAATTAAAGCAGAAACAAAATGAACTCCATTTATTAATGACAAGGTATTACAATCAAGAATTGACAGGAAAATATCAACATCGGCCAACTTGGGGCAAAGAAGAAATAAAATGACCACCACAGTAGCAGACAGTTGCATGGACAACTCTACCACGCCCTGCATGGGGAACAGGTAACTTTTGAACTTAAATGCATTGGGCTAAATAATGCATGGGCATGGCAGAGGCTACAGAGGAATAATCGTGTCAAGGACGTGGTCATGACTCACTTCAGGGAAGCATCTGCATGTTGCTGACAATGAGTCAGTGGGAATGAAAGGGGAAAGGCATGTACTTTGCAGGTGAATAAAATATTGCACAGACGCAGGTCCATGGGGCGGCTCCCCGTGACTGGGACACTGGCCCTAGACCTGAGAGGAAAGTCGCCTGTGCATGCGTCTTAGTTACACGTGCGCTGTAGTCAGCTAGGGACAAGTACACTGTCGTCAGCTAGGGAGAAAACATTTTCATCAAAATGATTCAACGTGATTCCTCTAGACAGAAAGAAACCAAATGCAGGGCAGTGGCAACAGCTGGCAGCTACTTCAGGATCTACACACCTTGGCAGATGGGTTTTAAAGATACCAAAGCACAAAGCCATTCTTAGGCAGACACAAACCAAACTGTCTTTCCAAGACAGCCTGGAGCAGGTTAAGGCTTTCATGAATGAGTTTCGATTTGTTGAGCTGTTTCCCTCAACAAATTCTCTGAAAATTCTTTTCTAAAGTGAACTGCTGACCTGGGCATCCCAGAGAGGAAGAGGAGGGCCAGCGTTTGAATGGAGGGGAGAGGGCACAAAGGACTATCAGGGAGGACTATCTGTGCTTTGGTTGAGGGAGAGTTGTGGGGAACACTCCGAGGGCAGATATCCTGTACTGTCACAGTATTAATAAAATGTTAAATAATGGCACTCTGTTTAAAAAAAATGTGAAAAAAGTAAAGCTAGCTGCTTGGGCATATTAGGGCTGCTTTCTTTCAAAAGCACGTGAAACAATGAGCAAATCTCTATGACTTTTCCCTTGCATGCTTCTTCAAATGAGAAACAAGGCTTGCTTTGTGTTTATAGGTATTGCCACAAGACTCACATTCATATGGCCTCTCTCCTGTGTGTGTTCTATAGTGCAAAGTAAGACGCATCTTTTGCGAAAATTTTCTCCCGCAAATGTTACAAATGTTATGGAGTTTTCTACCTGTGTGGGATTGCATGTGTCTTACGTAATTTGGTTTATGGCATATAATTACCTTACACAAATGGCAACTGTATATTTTTCTATCAGAATGTATGATCCGGTGCAGCGCCAGCTCTCTCCGCTGACTGAACCTAAGGTTACAGAGACTGCATTCATAGTGTTTCTCACTATTGTGAATCCAGTAATGCCTCCTGAGATCTGACATACGAAGGAATCTTTTCTCACAAATAGTGCATTTGTGAGGGAGCTCTCCAGAGTGAATCTTCACGTGCCCCTTAAGCAGTTTCAGGGTAGCAAAACATTTCCCACACTGGACACATGAGTAAGATTTCTCACTGGGACAGCTCTGCTCAGGGGCTCTGGGGCCGCAGGGTTCTGGCACCTTGGCGCGCTCAGCTGTCTCTCCTAGACAAGGGTTCTGAGAAGGGACAGGCACTGTCATGTCGCTGGGTGGCAGCTCTGTGGGGTGTCTCAATGGATTTTCAAGCTGCTCCGAGTTTCCAGGTAAATTGGGACCAAGGAGCACATTCCTGTCTACAGAAGCATAAAATGGATAAATACTTTGCATGTTTTACCCTTTGCACATATTTTCTTCATTTTCCCTCCCAATAGCCAAGCCTGAGGGCAGAAACAGAAACTGCAGATGTCACCATCCTCCAGGGAGAAAGGCTAGATAGGGGCTAAGAAGAGTTATACCCATCAGCTAGTGGGAAGACAGAAGGTTACCAGCGACATCCCAAACCACATTACCCTGGGATTAAGGGGAGTTTTTCTTTTCTTTCTTCCCCAACACCCGATGGCCCCTCACCTACCTACGCCGGTGCCGTAGAATCCTAGTTTCACGTCATGAGGATTGTGTAGTTGCTCCTTTGGCCAAGGCTCTTCTCTGTCAATTACTGGGAACCTCAGCTCAGGGTCTGGAAGGCGGTGTGCTGGCCACTCTGGGGGTTCTGGTCACAGGAAAGGCAGGAGGAAGGGGGGTGGGAGTCAACACAGGTGTCTCCAGAGTCAAAGTTGTGTCTGGGACATGTGGCCTCTCAGTGCCTACCTCCTTCCTTCTCAGGTAGGAGTCCCTCAGAGCAGGCTCTCACAAGCCTTTTGGCTTTGGTTTAGTTTTGAGGGTGTAGACAAGAGCACATTGAAGGGAGGGGAAGTGCTTTTGTGCTGAGCTCAAAGCTATGATGCTCTTCCACTCTGAGGCACGAGAGTGACCCATTCTGGGCTGAACACACCGAGTTCCACGTCTATCTCAAGAACGGAATGATTTAAACTCAGAGCCAGAACACAGAGCCAAGCTTCCCCAAATGTTGTCCTTTCCAACAGAAACACTCTCTTAGTGAGTCCCAGGAGTGCAGAGAGAGAGGTAAAGAGCGGCTCTAAGGAACTAGAATAATCTCAGTAAGAGATATTCAAGGAAACACAGCAACAGAACTAACTGGCAACGAAGACATCAGAACCTCTGGTTCAGCTGAAGTCTAGAAACTGGTTCTCTCAAAATAGCCCAAATACCATCAAGCACCAATTCTCACTGTCAGTCTGAGGTCCGGAGTGAGGAGTTTGGAACCTCATGTGTCTGGGCCTCACCACCCCTGTGCTCACAGACAGATGGCCTCTGTGGCTGCGTCATCTCCACGCCCCTTCCTGGCCTTCCTTAGCTCTGCCACGTTGACCAGTCTGCAAGGAAGTGTGGGTCGGATTGATGGCAATGCTGCGCGATGTTTATAGCACAAGCAAAACCAACTAACAAGTTTGTTTCAACCGCTTATTTTGAATTTTCATGGAGAAAAGGCCGAATGGATCAGATGAAGAGAAATGAAATGCATTTAAACCAAAAGTTGCTGAACGCATCACTTTGTTTTTGTTTGGGTGTCATGGCTCAGCTTGGAAAGACAGCATGGGAGACACCAGCAAAACTGGAGACTATGGCTCAAAAGAAAGCTGCTTTCGAGGTACAGTGGGAGCCAACTGAAAGACTGGAGGGTGAGAACCAGCATGAGGGGAGCAGAAACCCACAGGCCAGAACATCCCCCAATAAGGGAGACAGGAAAGCCAGTGTTCAGGATGGCAGGATGTGTTCCTGTGGTTTTCCCTCCTGCGCCTAGAGCCTGGACGGGAAACTTTTTTAAAAAATTATTTATTTATACAAGCACTGGGTACAGCCAGAAGGCGCGAGAGGGTGAGAGATATCACCAGAGCCAGAGCAGGGAACAGAACAGGCAGACTGACGAAATACACTGCTGAGGGGAGCAGCAGGCAAGACAGGAGAGGTCTGCCGCGCCATGTGGGACCCTCGCCGGCAGCCGGGGATCGAACCAGCATTGCAGAGGCTGCGGGCAGCTTCGCAGCCCAGCTCTCAAACGCTGCGCCATCAGGGGAGGCCCTGGACTAGTAACTCTTAAGGCTGCAGATCTCATCATACGTGGCTTAGACACCGGCTGCCCTTTGGGTGGGAAGCAGCCAAGATGGGAAGACAGAGGAGTTCAAACAGCCCTAGAGGCCCAACCTCGCACTCAGAAAATGAAACTGGGGGCCAAACAGGCAATTGGGCCACGGGGCCTGGCCAGAGTCCGGCTGCTCCTTTCTGTGCAGCACTAGCATGGGGGCACCCACAGCTTCCACCTGGTCCTCACCCAGCTAGCACCCTGGATGCAGCTTTCAGAAGCCGGCCCAGTCCTGAGCTTCCACCTACATGTTAGACTCATGCCCTTCTTATATGTGAAACATCCTCAGGCTCCACAGCCTCGGGTGCTCTTACCCACCACTCCCCCGACAATCAAAGCTCTGCTCCTGGCTCTCCCAGTGCTTTGCTGTCCCAACCTGTTCAGTAGCCTGTATCAGCTAAAGCATGGGGATGAATATGCAGACACACTGATAATTCCAAATTGCACCAAGACTGATAATTCCAAATTGCACCAAGGTCCTGCTGATCATTGCAGGCTAACACACAAAATATAGACTTTCAAGAAAGCTGTGCACAGATCTGGAGATGTAGGTAGCCCGAGAGTGGAATATGGATGACATTGTTTTGTAGGACTGGGCTATGACCAGAATAGATACATCCTGCTTCCTGTGGGTTTGTCCTGTTTGTCACCTCCATCCAAAAGAAGACAGAGCCCACATCTGCTACAGGCCCAGCTCTTGCCAGAGAAGGCACAAAGTATGGTGCCTGGAGACATTCAGTCAATGCAGAAAGGGAGACACAGTCATCATCAGCGATCACACTGAAAGTGTCTGAGATGAATTCTCTGGGGACATGGGCCTACCCAGCCAAGGTAAGCTCCTACTGAAGGACAGGAAGGGACCAAGGCATCCTCTCCAAGGAGAGGGGGCGTCTCACCTGTGCCTGTCCCCACGGTTGGCCAGCCTCCGGGAGAAGAGACATGCCACTGGGATTGGAAACCTGCAGAAAAGAAAAGCCATAGGTAAGCCCTAGAGTAAGAATATCTACTGGCTTTAGGAGCAAATGGGTCAAAGGGTGTAGAATATCTATTGTGATGTGGCTAGAGAGGGCACTGCAAAGCAAGGAACCTGGCAAGGTACCTGGAAGTGACAGGTCAGGAATTCACATACAGTGGCCTTTTCTGATCTGGTGTCTGCCAGTGTCTGCAGGGAACCCTGTGCTTCTGCCTGTGTGTAACCACTGCCGATCAGGCCGCCACCCTAAGGCTTCCATTACCATGTATTCTACAGCTCTTGACTTGCACATCTGTCTCTCCTGAGTTGCACCTCCACAATGGATCCATCTGCACTCCCAATTCCTCATGCTCAAATCTAGCTCACCAGTTCTGAGCCTCCTCCTGTTCTCTGTGTCAGGGAACAATAGGCCATGTCCATGGCCACTGGCCGGCAAACAGGATGCCAATCTTCACCATCTCTTCCTCAACACCCCGGTGACCAGTCCATCACCAAGGCCTATCCATGCCCAGGCTAAATATCTTTGGAATCCTGCCCTTTCTGTGCCATCACCACCACGTGACCCTACTCTAGGACATCAGCTCCCACCTGGGTGATCGCAGCCGCCAGCCCAGCGTGTCCCTGTATCCTGTCTCACGCCTTCCTGGGCAGAACGGTCATGTAAAAGGCAAAGCCACTGTTCAGCTTCCCCTCCTTAGGAGCATCCAGGGGTTCCCCACCTCCCTGATAATAAGCATAACTTCTCAACACAGCTGACTAAGTGTGCTAAGTACTTCTTCCCAGTCCAGGATCCTCTTCTCCCTCCTGCCCCTTGGATGGCCCCTCTGCCCCTACCCCCGCAGCAGGAGCTCTGCAAACTGCCAGGTCCTTCATGACTCTGGGCCTGTGCACATCTGTGCATGCTTCCCACACCCTCTCTCCTCCCACTCCTCCACTCAGCAGGCTCACTGCAAGTCTCCCTAGAGGATTCCACCCACATGCCCCCTTTTTCAGGTCTTCTACCCCCTTTGCCAAAAGCTGGCGTGGGGCCCCTCCTAGGAGGTCCCATAGCATCCCACCTGTTCACGCGTCCTTTCACAGTCTGTCTCCATCACATCCCGTACCCACTTACAGATCTGAATTGACCGCAGCAGCTCCAGTTCCAGGACGCCAGGAACGGGTCATCTTTGTGCTGTACTACTGACCCCAGGGTCTGTACTGTGCCTGGCTCTCAGCAGGTGGGGATATTTAGCAGTGAAATGAATAAGCTTTAAATGTGCGAAGTGGCAAAGTTGCTAGGCCCTGGTTGAGCTACTTATGGGTGGATGAGATCAATATTTAAAACTTGGACTGTTCTCAATATGTTCCTTTTGTATGTCCCTTTAGTTTTCTTGCTACTTCAGTCTGCTGAAGGTTCCAACATGTGGAAGCTGTGGCAGAGACCGTAAAGGGAGGGGTTTTGGCCAGGCCTGGGCCATGGCTTTTATGGGAGGGGGCAGGAGCTGGGTAGAGACAGGGATCACGGGTAGCAGTGAAAGAAATCCCCAGCGAGAGTGAAAGGAACCAGCACTATTGGGGCCTGCTGCCCCTTTCCACCTGACTTCCTCCTTCTAGTCCTAAGCCAGGCCTGCCTGCAGAGGTGCTTCCAAAAGTGGTGTGCAGGGTGTTCACCTGGACAGCTGGTTAAACATGCACCCCAGGGGGTCCTGACAGGACAGTGTGCTCAGTACTTGCAGAAACTCTGTTGGAGGTTTTGATGGAATGAGATAAGGAGTGATTGAACCCTCTTAAATGATCTGAAAAGAGTAATGGAATAAAGAATTAACTGTGAATGGGGCTCTTGGGGCATAAAAGCACCTGAGGTGCTCGGCAGCCCCAACATCGCTGGTGCCACTGATCAAAGTTTGCTGCAAAATCAGCCCTTCCCCAGACTACCCATCCTGCCATGGCTTTCTTAAAACCTTGTGACATTCTTCTCAGGTGTCCTAACAGGTCAGTGGCTTAAGGGGTTCTTAATGTCCTGCATCTAACAGTCCTGATGCCCAGCTAGTCCCACAGCGATGTCCCCCTCCTCTATCAGCAAGGACCATTTTCAAGGCTTAATTGGTTCTGAGCCCAGCCCCAGCCTTGAAGAGCTCTGGAGCTCTCACAACAGAAACCAATGAAAGGAATTGAATCCTGGGCCTCCCCGGTGGCGCAGCGGTTGAGCGCTGGGTTGCTAAGCTGCCCGCGGCCTCTGCGGCGCCAGTTCGATCCCCGGCTGCTCCCCGGCCACCTGAGGAGGGTCCCACATGGCGCGCAGACCTCTCCTGCCCCCCGCTGCTCCCCTCAGCAGTGTACTTCAGTCCTTCTGCCTGTTCGGCTCCCGCTCTGGCTCTGGTGAATTCTCTCACCCTCCCGTGCTTCTGACTGTACCCAGTGCATGTATAAACAAACAAACAAACAAATAAATAAACATGCCTCTATTAAAAAAAAAAAAAGAAAGGAATTGAATCCCTTGTCTTACCCGGGTCTGGAAAGGGCTGGCATTCCCCAGCAGCTGTGTAGTTCAGCTCCTGAGGCCCTGCCTGTGGCATCCACGCCTCTGCCATTGCAGCCTCCGGGGCAGCTCCCATCACTTGGAGCGGGGCTGAGTCCAGCTGCATGTTTGGTGGAATGTTTTCCATTCCCACTGGTGCCAGTTCTTCCAAGAACATTTCCTGGCTATCGATCTGGGGGAAATGCCAGAATTCGTCACTGTAAAATCAACACCAGCACTGCCCAGGGGCATTTCATGCCAGCCACCCTGTCATGTTACATGTGGGGGTAGCCATAGGATGAAAACATGAAACACTTGAAATCAATTTGAACATGTATGATCTAACCCAATATAGCTAGCAATCAGAGCTTAAGAATGTAATGTTAGCAATTATTGAGAGAGTTCCCCTACTTCATTCATTACACTGAATCTTCTGAAATGGGGGACACTCAGAGTAGAACTCACTTTGAACTAGCCACGTTGAAAGGGCTCACGAGCCCCCCTTGGCTAGAACTACCATACTGGGCAGTGCCTGACTAGACTACACTGTAAAATCTCACAGGTGAACCAAACCAAGAAGGCAGACAAAGGCAGGAAAACCATGAACTCCTTCCATGCTAGGGGTACCGAATAGTTCGTGAGTCTCCTGTTCAGATGGTCTAACGGGAGAGCCCCATCAACACACAGGCTGTGTGTCCCTCATGCCCACCCAGAAGCACTTCCTTCTTGTCCCAAAGAGTTTACCCTGTGCTCAGCTATGGCCTACCGCCAAGAGAGGCTGTACTAGGTAGTACCGAACGCAGGCCAGTGCCCGTCCTCATGGGGTACTGGTAAAAAGAACCTGTGAACAACCTCACTGTTGCTCATAAACTTAAAATTCCTTTCTTTTGAATAATTTTTGCATAACTTGACATTCACAGGAATGATCCTCTGTGGAAGTCAAAGGAAACCTACCCTACGTGTTAATAGTGCAGACGGACCAGGAGCTACTTGCCACTTTGGAAATCACGTGACCAGCAGCGACCTGGCTCGGAGTGGGGCTCCCTCAGGTTACAGGCAGCCTGGCACCTTCCCAGGTGTCATCATCAAGTGTGGTCATCCTCCAACTTGCTGAATGCTTGTTAGTTCATAATCAGCTGCCAGCCTCTTCCTGCCTAGATATCCATTCAGACTCTACTGGACTCGGGGCTGGCAAATTTCCTCATGTACAGCCAAAGTAACACTAACATTTTGTAGGGGGAGGGGCGTGCATTTGTTCTGTTGCTTCTCTTTCCATCCCGTTTTGAAGCAACTTCACAGTAGGAACACAGTCCAGTAGTAGCAAAGGGCATATGAAACAGGCCAGGACTGAATCTGGCTCCCTAGGTCTTAATATCAAGAGTTTGCATGCATGAGACTTGTAGGTGTTGGATCTGTGAATTTCATTTAAGGATATTTAGGGGATATTACACCATATTTGTTAGGGTACAGATTTTTTTTTTTGGATTTTATTTTATTTTTTTTCTTTTATAGAGGCATGTTTTAATTATTTATTTATTTGTTTGCTCCTTTGTTTTGTTTATACAAGCATTGGGTACAGTCAGAAGTGCGGGAGGGTGAGAGAATTCACCAGAGCCAGAGTGGGAGCAGAGCAGGCAGAAGGACCGAAGTACACTGCTGAGGGGAGCAGCGGGCGGCAGGAGAGGTCTGCGCACCATGTGGGACCCTCCTCCGGTGGCCGGGGAGCAGCCGGGAATCGAACCGGCGCTGCAGAGGCTGCGGGCAGCTTCGCAACCCAGCGCTCAATCGCTGTGTCACCGGGGAGGCCCCAGGGTACAGATTTTGAGTAAAAAGTGAGACGCACTGACCCATGTGCTCATTTTAGAATAAGAGAAAAATGCAAAGACAGTGAAGAAATGTTGGGGTTCAGACTGTACCTGATAATAGTCCTGGTCTAATTGCCACCAACCTGCTCTCTTTTCCTACCTGCCGCTCTGGTGTCTTCATTTCCCGCTCCAAGATTTCTATGAATGCCAACATCATTTCTGTAGGTCGTAGGCCAAATGACCTCACACGGGTCTCTATCTCTGGGGGCAGAATACTTAGGAATTGCTCCAGCACTAGCTGCTCCAGGATTTGTTCCTTGGAACGCATCTTTGGCTTCAGCCATTGGCAGCACAGCTCCCAGAGTTTGTTGAAAGCTTCATGAGGCCCCGCTGCTTCTCTGTACTGGAACTGCCTGAAGCGCTGACGGAAGACTTCACTGTCAGTATCATGTTCCTGAGACAGGGAGCCCTGATTCAAGGAGGCCTGGATCGCACAACCCAGGGCCACAGCCATCGCCCCCTGCTGGCAGTCTACAGTTTCTCTGGGGCCTCAAGTCTCAGACTCCAATTTCTTTCTTTCTTTAGAGGTCAGGGGGAGCCACCTACAGCTGAGGGCAGGAAGAAATGAGAAAGGAGAAACAGGAGTGGTTACCAGAGGGCATACTTACCCCCTCAACCTGCTTACTTTTCACCAAAGCCCTAAAGCAGCCGCTCATTCTCTTTTTGGTGGCTTTGACAATCTGGTTTCTCTTCCTAGAAAAATGCACACACACAATTCTGCAGCCAGTTTCAAAAACATCCGCATGATGCTCAAGACCATACACAGACCCTCTGGAACTGTGCTGTCAGATACAGTAGACATTAGTTCCCTGTGACACTTTCAGGTTCAATTCATCAAAACTGAAAACTCAGTAGCTCAGTCACATGAGCCACATTCCCAGTGCTCAGCAGACATTCTTGCAGAATTCTCTAGTGGACAGCTCTTCCAGAATTCCACGGACCCCCGGCTAGAACCCCATGACTTCCATGACCCCCAAGGAATGTGCCGGCCTTACCCCCACTCCCAGGCTAGCAGCAATTCTCTTGTGGTTCTGAAGATTGCTAAGCCACAAGCGAAATGGGGCAGCAATGCACACAACACTGGTGAATAACCCTGAAAGTCCATGTGTTAGGGGGAAAGGATGTCCTAAAGCTAATTCCATACAGACTTTGTGGACTCCACTCCCACCCCAGGCCAAAGCCAAAGACACTGGGAACTCCAAATCCCATCCCCACCAAAGGGAAGGTGGCTGGGACCTGAGGGTGGGGTGAAGCAGCCAGGTTGATATAAAGCCAGACACGTGGGCTTTGGAGGGGGTCCCCCATTTTGGCTCCCCGCCAGCTCGCAGCGTCCGGCCAGCTCTGAGAGTGACTTTGGGTTTCCAGGTCGGGGGATCGGGTAGGACGCATTAAAGACTTTATTTCCCTATTTTCTCCCTGAGTTGTCCATTTTCCTTCTTTCCTTTTCCCTTGTAAATAAACCTTTTATTAACCTTTTGTGAGTGCCTGTAGTGGAGTATTCATAAGTCCCTTGTAAGCGCGCGGGTGAGGACCCACAGCCAGGCAACCCGTTCAATATCAGGGCTGTCCTATAACACATGTAGCTCTGAGCAACTCTGAGTACCTTCAGTCACAGACTCTTAGGCTAGAGCCCTGCTCTGCAACAGCAGCAAATGATCAGCCCCTCTTGCTTTTCCCCTGGTGCCTGCACTTCAGCCAACATCCCTTGACCCTCATGCTGCAATAGCATGCCAAGGGGCTGTGTCATGAGACAATGACACAGCAACTGGGCAGGCAGTGGGACTCTGGTCTGCGTTCATAAGGAAGGACATTTATCCCACTTATCCTGCTCTGTACAGGGGCTGTTCTAACCCCCCTCGGGGTTCATTTAGCCCCACCCAGTGTCAGGAGGTGAGGACTAACTAGAGGTACAGAATAGAGATGAGGGGACTGAGGTCTGAGCTCAGGGGAACTGAACACATCGTCCCAGGTCACAAAGTCAGTGCCAGGGAAATGGTGATGAGGTTCGATCCATAGACCCCTGCAAGGCTCGCTCTCTGAACAACAGGCAGATGTTCTTAGTTCAACTCAGAGGTCACAGAGCTGGTCACATGCATGTGTCCACAGGTGACAAGGCGGGACCTGCCCACCTGCCATGGGTCCTCTCCCTGTATTTGTTGAAAAGCTCGGGTACTTGTTCCCTTTCCTGGAGTGGGGACAAGTGAAAAACCCTCCTGACTTCCCACCCAATCATGCACATCCACTCTGTGTCCCCATATTCCCCTTCACCCGGACCTTCTCCTGGACTTGGCAGCCGATTGATCTTTTAGACATGATAGCCTTTTGCAACCCAGCCCTAATGCTTCCATTTGCCTCCGGAGCATAACCCCAGCATCTACTTCATAAAATGCCCGCCCAGGGGCCTCCCTGGTGGCACAAGGTATTGGGACGCAGCTATGAGGCTTTCCACAACCACTGCAGCAGGAGTTCAATCCACGACCAGGGAGCTACCCACATGGCACAGCAGACCTCTCCTGACTAGACCGCTGCTCCCCTCAGCAGTTTATTTCAGTCAGTCTGCCTGTTCTGTTCCCCATCCCCAGTCTGGCTCTGGTGAATCCGCTCACTCTCCTGCACATCTGGCCTGTACCCCAGTTCTTATATATATAAATAAATAAATCTTTAAAAAAAATGCCCTGCCCCAATCCACATCTGACCCCATGGAAAGTGAATGTGCCTGGCACAGAGAAAACGCTCAAGAAAGTCCATTGCTTCTGAGGATTGGTTCCTAAGAAGCTTCTTTTCCCTCTGCTGAGACGCCCACGGTGGCTGGAGGGTGTCTGGGGACCTCGTGGTTTGAGCTGTGGCCCCACCTTTCATCCGTGGCATGCTCACAGGGGCAGCCCTCCCTTGAGGACCCAACCGTCTCCTATGTCTGCCAGAGCCTGACCCTATAGGCTTGTCTCCAGGGGCCCTTTGGCAAGAAAACTTCCCCGCGGGGGTGGATGGCTTCTCTCCAAAGTTTGCTCAAGGCACCCGCATTCACAGGCCCAGGAATTAAGGTGTGTGAAAAGAAGGGTACTGGGGGAAAGGCAGGGGGCCAAGTCCCTAAAAGCCTATACACCTGCGAACAGCGGGTGCTGCGGAGCAGGTGCGGTGTTGGAGCGCTCCTGGGGGGGATTTCCCGCTGTTTGTAGGAGGGCCCCCTGTTTTGTAACGCTCTGGGAAGTGCTGGCTGTTCCCAGGGGGAGTTTGAGGGGCCCTAGTTGGACAGGGTCGGGGTGAAAGGTTGCTGTTATCTGCGCTCGCTGTCCTTGTCAGTACAGAGACCTTGTCAGACCGCAATTTCGGTGGCCTGGGCATGTCAAGCCTTCCTGATACCTGCGCAGTGTGGAGGATGCACAGGAGGCACTGCACGTCGGGCTCTCAAGTTCCTGAGCCCGTGCAGGACGGAGGCTCAGTGCTGACTCTCTAGTGGAGCCCTTTGGCAAGGCGCCTCTCAGTCGGGCCCTGTGGAAAGCTAATTCATGCGGTCCGTGGACCCTACCCACGTTCATCACTCCCGTTGGCCCCTGGCGCCGGGTCTGGGGAAGAGGCGCCAGTGCTGGTGACCCTCGCCAGTGGAGGATCCCCACTACTTGCGCCCAAGCCCCAGGAATGGACAAGGCCCCGCCGTTCCTACCGATGTTCACCGCCTCCAGGGAGTTCTTGCTTCCTGATGCTGCAGGTCTCACCACCCCTTGTGCGCCGAGCTCTCCCGTGTGTTCCTGGTACTGGCAGCCCGAGGTCCCGACTTCAAGCCACTAAGGCAGAGGCCCTATTTTCTGCCCGGGAACACCAGGACCCGCACAGGGCTAGGGTTCAGGTGCAAGTTCAGTCTGAAACCGAGATGTAGGGAGAATTGGGAGCGCTCTAGGTAATAGCCTCTGCGCTGCGGGAAGGGTAAGATTTCTCGGGAGAAGTCGTTTAAAATTTAGATTTCTTTACCCCACCCCCACATCCGGAGGTGATGGCTCTGAGGTGGTCTCAAATGAGGTCATCTCAATAAAAGCTTTGTGGATTTTGTAAGGTCCTGGTTGCCATGAATTTTGCATTTTTTAGTTTTTTGGAGGTCTCTTGTGAGACTTGAGAAAATTCAAGCTTGAGAGAAATAATGGGCCGGGTAGAATGATTCTATTACTTAAATTACTAAAATGTCTCAATAATTTAAACATAAATTTATCAAATGGCCTGGGGATTCCACTCCTTTGTAATATTCAAGGCAATGCAAAATATATGTCCACACAAACAATTATACACAAATAGTAATGCTACTGTGTTCACAATAGCTAAAGAGGAAATAACACATATGTCCATCAGTTGATTATTGGATTAAAACAGGGCCATAATATACAATGAAGGAGTATTTGACCACACAAAAGAATGAAGTAGTGATGCATTTTACAGCATGTGTGAATCTTGAAGACTTACTCTATGTGAAAGAATTCATGAAGGCAAATTGGCAAATTCATGAAGCCAAAACTGAGATTATTTGTTACTGGGGCTGGTGATGTGGCTAATGATGTTGGGTGATGATTGTTGATCGATACGTGTTTTCTTTGGAGAGTGATGAAAGTGTCTAATATATGTGATATTTGTTGCAGAGTTTATGGATATACTAAAAATCACAATATTTTACATTTAAAAGGTTGATATTTATGTGTTTTAAATTTGTCTTAAAGTTCCCCTGAACCTTTATTGCCCCTGTTTCAAAAAAATTCTCTGCATTTCAAAATATCTTGTTTTTAACTGAAAGTTCTCCTTTCACCTGATCATCTCAGATGATCTCATAGATACTTTGGACTCAGATGAGAGATTCCCCTGCCTTTGAATGAATGCCAGGTCCGACGTACCAGGAGCCCGCAGTTCCCTGTGTGTAACATTCATTGCAAGGTCCCATCATTGCTCCATCCACTCATTTGCCTCAGCCACTACGGGGGTCAGGCTTGCAGGGGAAGTTAGATGGGTGGGATGGGGGCATTTAGGTGAGGGCACAAGGAACCTTTGGAGCCTCTGCTGCCAACTGTGAGCCAGCTCTGGGAAGGCAGCCTGGCATGCATCAAATGCAGCTGTGGTAGCAGCCTGTTACGGTACTGCCTGGAACCAACCTGACTGCTGGAATCCCAACAGAGCATGGCTACATTGACCTTGGATTTAGGAAAAGCTCTCCCAAGAACCCACCTAAGGGCACTCTACCTGCTAGAAAACTGGTTTTGATGGGCACCTTTCTCATCACCACAGACTCCTTCCAGCAGGCAGGTGCTATCTACAAAAGTAGGCAGATAACTTCTGAATATTGGCATACTGGTATTCCTGCCCACTCCCCACTCATTTACCACCTGGGCGCCACCTTCTATGCTTGCAAATGCTACCATTGCAGAAAGACACAATCCTAAGGAACATTAATTCTGCTTACAATATGGGGTTACTTCTAATATTCCACACCTTAACCTTAGAAGAAGAATCACACAAGAGAGAGTTCAGCTTTAAGACATAGAGCAGAAAGGATGGCTGGGGGGTGAGGATTTCTGCAGTTTGCAGATATTTAACAAACAATAGCCAGATTTTTTGAGACCTTCTTGAAGAAGTTAACTAAATTTGCATTTAGCCAATTAAGATATGCTCTATTTTACATTTCCAGGCTCAGGCTCTTGACAAGTTTTTCCACTTGAATATGTGTAGGAGGAGTAGCAAGCTTCTCTGTATGGAGAAGCAGCAGGTTATTCCATATGAGAAGCAGGAGGGAAGTGTTGCTGCCCTTTTTAGAACTGAATATTTCTTTTAAATAGTCCTCATTGAAGGACTATTTGTGACTGATAGTATAACAGGTTATTTTAGCTTCTGTTCTGTGAAAAGAGTAAAGGATTCCAACAAAGGATTTTAAGGTAGGTTTTTTTTCTTGCACCCATGTTGTTGATTGCTAAATGTAATGGCCTGATTATGACCCTGAATAAATGTGTCTTAAAAAAAGCCCATTTATTGTCAATTTTTCTTGTGGTGGAAGAATGCAGTCCGTCGAATTTCTTACTATTGAGTAATATATTTAGTAATTTCAAATATCTAAGTATCTTATGCCCTACATTCATTTCGACCTTTGTGCTCTATTCAAGGCCTTGGAAAAATAAAAGGTTGGTATGGGTGCATGTGTAATATTTTTACTTGCTTTTTTTGACTTAAAAATTCCTGCTCAGAACAAGTTTTGAAACACTTTCTCTGTTCATCAGTCTTTGGCCAGCTCTGATATGGTTCACCAATATATTGTCCAACATACAATTTGGGTCATTTCTGTCCTCTCTATACCAAGATGTATCATACCTTTAAACTAAACTAAACTAAACTAAACTAAACTAAACTAAACTAAACTAAACTTTCTTTCTTAAGAAAAATGTAGCTATGTGGCCATTATTTAGAGACTATAAATCCAGTTTTGCACCTTGTATTCCGAAGTCACTCTGCTGAAAATGGCAAGACTCAGCCTGGATACATAGAGGGCTCGACCTCCAGTTTTATTTTCTGTCCTACTTTGCAAAAAGTGACTTATAGTCAAAAGAAATTAAAATGTCAAAATCTTAAAAATAAACAAAAATTCTCCATAACATCTCTAAGTGGAGGCATTCATGAGAAATACTGGAAGTATAAAACCATGATGAGCAAATAATGCCAGCTGCAGATGGAGAAGAAAAAAATACTTTAGAAATATCACCATATTTAACCACCCTTATAGTAATTTATTTCAAAAGAACATTGATGGATGCTAAAATCATTGGGTGAAACACTGCAGGGGGAAAAAGACATTTACACACGCTCAGATGTTTTATTTATAATAAAGAGGAAATTATCCATGAATTATGGACAAATCTTGTGACACTTTAATGTTTAACTTCAGCCTAAAAATGAAGAAAAAAATCAGACTAATCTAAATTTAGAGATATTCTGCTTGGGGTGAACTTTTCAAAAAACATTGCTATGGTGTAAGATGAAATGCTAGAGAAGAGTGGATGTGTACTAGATTAAATTAGACTCTGGAGACATGGCAAGTAAACGTACTATATACTATAAGCTCTGACTAGAAACAAAATACGAAGGATGATATTGGGACATTTGGGGAATTTTGATTGTGGACTGAGAGGATACAGTTGTTGCTAAAAAGGTAAGTGTGTGTAAGAGAGAAAGATACACACAGAGAGAGGATCAAATACAGTAAAATGGAAGCAATTGCTGAGGATAGGTAAATGGCATCTGGGTGTTAATTGTACTATTCTCTCAACCTTCCTGTTAAGTTTGTCAGCATCAACACCTGAAAGTTGGTGGAAAATTCAGTGTACGTAAAAGGACAAATTCAGGTAACTGAGGTAGAAGTCAGCTCAGTCCACAGACAACTTCTATTAGCTTAGGAGTCACATCTGGGGCTCCACTCTGGGCCTTGAGCTCTGGAGGATGATTTATGACCTTTCAAAATTGTGTCTTCAGCATCTTGGCACAATTTCCAGAAGAGATGCCAGTAAATGTATAAGGGAGTATGCCTTCTTCCAGGTATGCTCCCAAGGAGTAAGGGTAGAATGAGTTCTGGTGTCCTAGGCATCACATCTTCAGGCTTTTGTGTTTCTAGAAGAACCAGATGACTAGAGCTGCATCAACAGATTGCCTGGTAGAACTGAGTATCTTTGACTGGAAGTCGTCCCCTGGCAATGCCCTTTGGGTCTCCCTTCCCTTTTTTGGCAGGAGAGAACAAAGCTTGCAAGGCTCTCTTTGCTGTCCTTTTTTTCTCCTGTCATTGACCTGAGAGAGCCAATAAAACATCAAGTGGTTGATGTTCTTCATGGTCCCCTCCAGAATGGGACCAGGTTTTCTGTTGCCACTTTTTATCCTTGATGTGATGGATTATGTTTATCAACCTTCAAATGTTGAACCAGGCTTACATACCTGATTTATGTTTTCAGCTGTGAGAAATTCCCAGAGTTCTTCTCCCCACTGTTGGCAACCTTGGATATGACTTGATTTGCTACCATTGGCTTGATCAGAAGGCCAGACCATTGTCAATACCCCAAAAGTCTGTAATAATTTGCAGATTCAGGGCCTCCCTGGTGGCCTAGGAGTTAAGTCTCAGCAGTATCACCACCACAGCCTGAGAGCCTGAATTCCATAGTGGGCCCGGGAGCTAACCCACTTGGCACAGCAGACCTCTCCTGACTCGCCCACTGCTCCCCTCAGCAGTGTATTTCAGTGGATCTACATGTTCTGCTCCCCACTCTGTCTCTGGTGAATCCTCTCACTCCCTGTACCTCTGCCCTACACCCCACTTCATCTACACAATAAATAATTTTTAAAAAATTATAAAAAAATTAATTTGTAGATTCAAGAGATTGTTGGCAAAGGCATCTTAGTATTAAGACAACTGCCTAAAACTCAACCAAATGTGCTGACTCTTTATTCCCACCCTTTTTGGAGACTTCTTAGTCAATCTCCATCATTTATGCTTGAGGTGATAAGGTCTATGAACTCTTTACTTTTCAGTCGGTTGCTGCCAAGGTCCTTATTGTTAAGCCAAGGGTTCTCTTGTAGTGGCCCTGCACTCCTGTGCTCTTGGGGTGGCCAGCCAGGCCCACCTGGCTGGGTGCAAACCTAGCCACTTCCCTCCCTCCCCCCACACCAGCCCCACCCCAGGACCTGGGCTGAGAGCACAGTACTAGAGGAGCCAACACCACCCCTGGAAGTCCAGACTGGATGCCTGCACAGAGCCTGGATCTGAACTCCACCCCTAACTTTCAGATGTGGGAGAAGGCTGCTGGGAAGGGGTGTGGCAGAGCCGCCTTTGTTTTAGGAGACTTTAAAAGGGAGTGAGGGCCCTGGGCTTGCTATTTTTTCGTCAGAGCTCCTGCAGAAGGC